GCCCCAGGCCCAGCCCAGGTTCTGCTGTCCGCAGTAATGGTGCAGGGCTTGTCTCTGGTAGCTGGAAACGCAAGTTGTGCTCAGCTAGGCGCCCTGCCCTGTCAGTTGAGGGGGCTGTCTGTAGCCTTCAGCGCGGTGGTGGGAGAGGTCTGATGGGGCAGCGGGCGGATGCCCGGGATGCCCGAGTTCCCCTCTGACGCTTCTGTTCTTTTCCGGCCGACACCTCTGACTTTGTGGTTGCTCATTCTGATCCTGCTAGCCAAACCACTGGTGATCTTCTTTTCCTCGCTTTCTCCCGCATCCTGCCCCTCTGCTGGCCATGACAGAAGCCTTGGCAGAGCCCTGCCTGGGGCTGGGGCGTTGGCCGGTGGCGCAGGCCTCACAGCCCCGTCCCTCTGGCACTGCCTCAGTGCCCCTTCCTGCCCCATCCCTGCACCATGTGAAGGGCTCCCACACTCAGCTTTCACTGCAGACGCCATGTGCACTCCAGGGGCGCCCCGTGTGCATGGGCATCCTGTTCTCCCCGGCCCCATGTGGACCACATGGTGACCCGAGGATGCTGGTGGAGAAGCACTAGGGAAACAGCTCCTTTGAGGCCCCCTCATTTGTTGCAAAGGCCCTGGGGAGGAACCTCTCTGCCTTCAGTTTTGGAATCATGGTCCTGTGACATTGGTTGTGTCCAGAAGCAAGGCCGCGCAGAGCTTCAGCTGACGATGGCTGCACAAGCCAGTTTCCCTCTCATGGTCTGGCTGAGTCAAGCCCTGGGGGCGGCATGTGTCCTCCCTGAGCTTGCTTGGAACCTTCCCAGGGAGGTGTGGTGGTTCTCCTTCCATCCACACGGTCAGTCTCTCTCACTCTCTCAGCATCCCCCTCCCCTGCCCAAGGTATCTGAAACCCAAGTCAGTGGGAAGGCAAGAATGGGCGATCAGAGACTTCATTTAGCCTCTAGCCCTGGGCCTTCCAGCCCTGTGACTTTGGGCTGGCCATGTAGCCTCTCTGAATGGCAGTTTGGTCACCTACGAGGAGGAACGGGCTCCGTGGGACTGCTAAAATGACCTGCAAACCCCCCCATGGCAAGTGTGCATGGGGTGTGGTGCTTGTTTGCTCTTCAGAAATGCGTGGGCTGCTCAACTCACTTTAGAGCTTATGTTTTAAAAGGGAGTCTCCAAGGATTCTTGAATCAGGAGTGATGTTCACTCTCCTCCTGAAATAGTGCCTACCCTGATCTCGCCCTGGGCTGTGCCTTGTGACCTGGGCTGGGAGTCCCAGTGTAGGACGAGAAGCTGAGGAAGGCATGGCTGTGTCTTGTCTTCAAGAAGCTCAGAGTCCACCCAGGGTAGGACGGGAGAACCCTGGGAGGCCAGCAACTGGTGGCCTTGGGAAGCTCCCAGGTTTGATGGGCACACAGGGAAGGCCCCCTCAGCTGGCCTGGGAGAAAGGGCAGTCCTGCCCAGGAGCCAGTGTTTGGGCTGAGTAAGAGTTGGCCGTGTTTCCTCTTCGCCCCAGATCACAAGCTGCGGTGTATGAGGCCTGGATGTTCCCCATGGCCCCCGCGGGTGTGGCACAGAGCCGATTCAGGACGTGGGTGGGTATGAACCAAAACTTACTGCAGTTCCAAGAGAACGTGTCTCTGTTGGCCCTCTGTGGATCGTGAGTGCGGACCTCACCATCCCTGTGAGTTCTACCAAGGACCATGGGCGTCCCCAGGTCATGCCACAGCTGGGTCCCGAGCTGAATGGTACCCATTTGTGTGATGGGTTCACTTTGCCAGGCCAGGGCGGGGTGGCGGGGGGAGAGTCAGAACCGTGTCTGAGTCTGCATGCGCGTCAGGGGCTGGGAGCCGTGTGCACGCTGGCTCCCAGCACCAGACTGGCAACTTGCTCTCTGTGAAACTGGGAAATGACAAATGACCAAAAAATCAATTTGTAATCTGATTGGAGGTTTTTGATTTCCTCTGATGAGTTTAAATTTCATTAAAAGCAACCTTATTCCAACATAAAAGGAATCCTTGAAGGGTAAAACAGGGGATTGTCTCACTGAGTATAAAGCCTCCTGACTCTTTTGTGTGATTTATTCATCGCATTAATTGTGAGGGCCAACCTGTGGTGTCCGTTGGCAGCTGGGCCCTTATCAGGGCCTGGGATCGGCCGGGCGCGCTCAGAGCACAAGGACTCACATTCAAAACTCGCTCTTTGGCATATTGACACTTGAGTTATCAACAACTCTTATTATCTGCTGGGAGGGAGCTCGCAGCTCGTGGGGACAGAAGCAGCTACAAATCGCTGCCACAGCCGCCCCTCTGCATTCTCTTAATTGTATGTATTCTCTGGAAAAAATGATCACCGTGGCCTCTTGTCTTGATGAGAAATTGACATTTTCAGAGGACCTCTTTGGGTGCTCCCAGCGAGGAGATAAGGCTGAGTTGTTTTAAAGGAGAACAGCCTTTCTTCCCTTTCAGCTCCCTCCCCTTTCCCTCTTTATTGCTCTCAGTGACCCACTTGATGAGTATGGATTTCATGAGGTCTTTTTCAGCATTTGAACTATAAAAGGTTCAGAATGACACCACCCCTTATAGACAAAAGATAACCTTGCCCTTTGAATATATCGATTCTTTATTAACTAGGCTGTTTAATGCAATGAAATGAGGCATTAGATGGAAGCCCATTTCAAGTGCTTTGAATAATCTTTAAAAGCTTGAAAGACCTTAAAAGGCAGCCCGACAATAATTGGCATACATTTGGAGAGAATGCAGTTCTTGCTTCTGATTCGAAACACAAACATGAAACAATTTCTCCCCAGGTTGTAGGACCCTGGTGAGCCAGCTCCGGGGAGCACCCCCCCCCCCCCCCCGCTGCCCAGGCTGGTACTTCCGGCACCATCTTCAAGTGGGGAAGGAGGGGACTTTGGTCCCCAGCGGGCCCCCCCACCAGCACCTCGGGAAGGACCCCGGGGGGGATGGGCGGGAGGGTGGGCAGCCAGCATCCTTGTACCCCGAGAGCCTCTTTTTTCCTTTGCTATCTCTTTAAGGCTGAGACAAAAATGCAGCCAAAGCAACCTGATTGCCATTGACAGGAGAAAAAGGTATTCACAAGTTTCTTTATGTTTTGAATAATTGTTTCCTGTTTTGCTCAGCAGAACAAGTAATTAAGATGACATTTGTGAGTACTAATTTGGATCACACTTACGTGTATGTGTTACAGAGCTGCAAGCCAAAACATGCAAAACCAGCCTTTCATTGAGGAGCAAGTGAAAAATCCAGAATGAGCTGGAAGGGGCGTGCCGAGAATCCGCAGGAGCTGAGCTTGCTCGTGTAAATTAGAGCCCCAGGGCTGAGGGCGGCTCTCATGAGCTTTGGTGCCTTTGGCCGCCCCACCATGCTGCCCACCACCCCTGCCCCCCGCCCCAGGCAGAGCGCGGAGGCGGCTCAGAGGGTCTGTGTTGCCACTGCCGTGGGCCCCGGGTTGGTGATGGCGTCCCCCATGTCAGACGCCAGCCGGCACCACCGTCTGGGCCCCTGGTGTCCGGCCGCCTGCCGGGAGCCTGACGCTGCTTCTCGCCCCAATGCGCTGGGTGGGGTCGGTGGGAGGAGTGGGTGTCGGACGCGGCCCGAGCACTTGCTCGCGACCTGGCGAGCCCCCCGGCTTGGAAGCAGTGGCGGGAGCGCCGGGGGTGGGGAGCTCGTGGCTGGTTAATCGCCACGGTGCTGCTGTGGCCTGCGTGTCCCACACAGAGTCGTGTACAGCTGCTTGGAGGGCAGCCTGCGGACAGACGGCCCCTCTGGGCCCCGGGCCATCCCAGGACCTGGAAGAAGTGCTCTAGGCCGGGTAGAGGAGCCGTTCGAGGACTGAGAACTTCGTAGAAAGGTTCTTCCATGAATTACTGTATCTGGGCCAAGATACAGCCCTGGGGCCCAGGGTGTGCAAAGGAACACCACCCCCCCACCCCCCCACCACCAACCCAGTGTACCTTGTGCACGCCTTCTGCCACTCGTTGTAGTCAAAACAGATAAAATTACCCAAAGTGAAATTCACAGACGAGAAATACTTTAATTAAATATTGTGTAAAATGAACATTTTTATACAGTTAAATATCTGAAAAAATGTACAGATAAAACAATCTTATTGTAGGGTCTTTAACAGTAAAATCTACCATTTAGTGAAGCGCTCGATTTTGAGACAATGAAGCGATGAGGGGCATTGACTAATCTAAAACACAAACCGAGTGCAGGGATGAGGAAACTTGCAAACGTTCTTAACATGTACACGTGAGCTTGTTTTTAGATCAAACCCTTACTTATACAAAATAAAACGGAGGCAATTTAGTTCCAAAGTGACTTCTCAGGCTTTCCCACGTAGCTAAGCCTTAGCGGTCAAAGGGACGGACTGTGACCCACCTGACCACCGGGAACATTCTGCTTCTTTTATTTAGTCCCTTGAATGAACACTTTCCTAAGTTGTGCATGGTTTTGTTTTTTGTTTTTTCTTTTTTGTCAAGAAAGTTTTTTAAAGTCCCTCCTTTTTGTTTTAAATCTGATTTCTGCTGCAATTTGCAAAACATTTGCTGTGCTGTGTCTGCAAAGCAGTTAACACAAAGGGGAAAGACTGACCCTCCTGGTCTCACTGTGGGTTTGGCACGAACAGGCACAGGATCTGAAGGAGGTCATTCCGGTTTAAAAAGTACAGACGGTGCTGTTGGGTCTGACCACAAAAAAAGTATTGTTTTAAAAAAAAAAGTTAAAAACCAGCGGTGATTTTGGTTCTCCCTGAAACCTCTCTGAATCCTAGGTGGGCCCGGGAGGACACACAACGCAGCAGAATCAGACGCAGAAAGGAGCGACACATGGAACACCAGGTTTGTGCTTTTGTTTGTGTGTGTGTGTGTGTGTGTGTGTTACACCGTAAATCTCCAAATGAAATATCGATTAACAATTGTGTCATGAGCCTGTGATAAAATAGCACAAAGGTTCTTTAAAGAAGTCCACTTTTAAGGCATCAGAGAAGTTAATGTGGCAAACATTTTAATTAAAACATCAGAAGTAAATTTTATTTTAAACTTTAGGCCTCTGAATTTTTCCAGTAAACACAGTTCAGCTATGTGGCAAAGTCATGGGTGGCAGCTAAAATGACTTTTTACATTCTACAGAAAAATAAGGACACAGCCCCAAACGGTGTCCCCTCTTCGTTGCTGTTCCACATGCACAGAATCTACTAGGATTTGTCACAGCTGAGTGGCACCGTTTTGTTTTGACTATACAACGAACTTTTTTTCAAAAGTATTTGTTCAGATAACTTAAAAATAATATAAAAATAAACAATGAATTTGACTTTTCCTCAAAATAAAAAAAAAAGGGAAAAGAAGGATGGAAAGTCTAAACAAAAGCAAATCTTTGAAGTACAAATGAAATGCAAGGACACTGGTTCGCTTTAACAAAACAGGTCAAAGAGACAGCTCTGGGCTTAGTGCTCTTCCCAACACCAGGCCACGATCCAAAACCAATACAGACAAGAAAAAGGAAATGGCAGGAAAAGCAATGTACAAAATTTCAAAGATAAATACAATATTTATAATCGATATGTTACAAAAGAAAGTCCCTTAGCAACTGTAGGTGTTCATGGAAAAGTGTTGAATGGAGACCATTTTATTCCTTATGAGACACATAAGGAAGAAAACGTGTTTTGTTTTTTTTTTCTAAATATTTAAGTGGATCTGAAAAAAATTCAAGACAAGTGTATAAATATTTAGCTACAACTTTGGCAAAATCACAAAAGTCTACAATTTTATAACCACATACAAAACACATTAGGGAAGAAGGAGCTAGAAGTCAAAAGGACAATTTCTGGTACAAGAAACATGGACCTCACAGTAGCCTAAGAATGCAATAGTATACAGTGCTAGCAAAAGTTGAAAAAATGTTGCAGATCACACTTGCTTAACAGGAAGCTCTAGCAGTGGGAGAATATTTTAACCAACAGACAGTAGCATATTTTTTTTTCTGTCAGTGTGCTTGTTGAAGGCAAGAGAATTCAATATCAAAGTTACAATTTCTAACTACAATAAGTTACAAAGTTTCATTTCATTAAGATGAAGTTAAGCAATGATAAACCCACCCTCCCTCCCTGCCACCCCGAATTCTCCTAGTCACGTAGTCCTCCTTTCTTCCAGTTCGATGGCTCACACCTCCTTGGCCCCTTTTTTTTTTTTCACCACAAAAAAATATTTCACATTATAGAGATACACAACCATTGTGAATCTAAGTATGAGCACAGAAAAATGTTTGGAGGCATTTTTCATCAGTGTTTCATGATAATCAAAATGGTGCATTCACAAAGTTTCTCCCAACACATAGCAAGTACTAGACATAGCGAAGACGGAGTCAGAAACTTTATACAAAATAGGCGTCGCTTTGTTTTCCTTAGTCTTCAGGACTGAGAAATGTGAAAATATGAGAAAAGTTCAGTCAATAAAATGGAATTGTTCATGAAGAAGTAGGCTGTTTGCATGTTGATTCTTAATAGTTTAAATAAAATCTTTAAACAAAGTCTCTTGTAGCATTTCCACCGCGGCTGATGTGTTTGCAGACAATGGCTTCAGCAGCAGCTCATATATACTAAACGTGTCCCCTGAAGTCCGTCCTTGGGTGCTGGGTGCTGCGGGAGGGAAGGCGAGCCCCTCACATCGGCGGGACTACCAGCCCAGACATAGCTGAAAGAGAGAGCGCAGCAGGTTACTGGGCCGCCCCTCTCGCGGCCGGGCGGCCTTCGCCTGGGGCTTGACTCAACGGTGACGTGGGGCGTGCGCCGCGCCCACTAACCAGCCGTGGGCTTGGTCAAGGCGCGGGGGGGGGGCCTCTACCTCACGGGACCGGGGTACGTGTGGGGACAACCCCCCCCCCCGACCTCTCACGCTGCAGCCCTCCTCAGAGACTTCCTCTGGAAGGGAACGGCTCTGGCCATCGTGCGCAGAAGGCTGCCGCCTCCCACAGGTCTCGGTGGCTTGTTTATAGCAGACGGAGGCCCAGACTCCCCAGAGGCCACCTCTGTGGACAGATGTGAACCAACCTGGTCACGCCTGTGACGCCAGCCGGGGCCGGCCCGCAGGCCCGGTGGGACCCGGGCGCCGCGCTCACTCCCTCCGTGAAAACTGGATGTGCCTCAGTTTCCCCCTCTGCTCTCAGCCCTTGCCTCTGACCTTCTTCTGACTGTTCCGTATCGTAATGGTGAGTCACGGGCTCTCCAGGAGCAAAGCCGCTCACAGCCCAGCTGCCCTGCCCTCTCAAGGCCAAGGCCCCGAAGAGACCCCAGTCACAGCCCCGCCTCAGGGCGCTCTTTCGGCCCCTCTCGGAATAAGAAACTCGGTGCTAAAACGCCAAGCGCAGCGGACGCTTTCCAGTGAACTCCTGGTATGAATATGATTTAAAATCTTTTAACTTTAGTGTTGTTTAATTTTTGTCAGAATGATCATTCTCATTAATTGATGTAGAACATATTCATACGTTTGTTCACGTAGTGATGTGAGCTTCAGTTTCCCAGTTCATTAATTCCAACAGTCTTAACTCCTCTCCGACTCACCGTTACAACGTTATGGTTTTGGCAGACCCGCGTGGGTACACGCTGCCCAGGCAGCACCGTGCTCCCGTGGGCCTCCGCGCCGTGCGGACGGTGGCCGGGCCGTGGCACCTGGCCACCACCGGGCCCGCAAGCAGCTCTGGGCTGGGGGCCGCGGGGGCGGGCCCGCAGGCCGGTCGGCGGCACAGGGGGCCTGGGCGTCCCTCTCATACACTAAGATGTTGGGAAGACAATTATTTCAAATCACGGATACCTTTCCAGTTCCTTTTTTGAGCATTAGTTCATCAAAGTGAAATATGCCACCGACTTCACAAAAGGGCCAGTTTGTCTTCTCCACGGTAACGTCCTCAGCACCCAGCAGAGAGCCTGGTACATAGTAGGTGCTCAGTAAATACTGGTTGAATGGATTCATTTTTTTAAAGGAGTAACTGGATTTGATTTTCACCGGGAGGAGCATATACCAAAGGTGGTTCTGAAAGAGGCCAGATGATGGCCACTTAATTCAGCGCCTGTGGCCCCCGTGAGTCACAGAGCCACGCGGAAGATCACGAGGCCTAGGGGCACTCACGTGGCCCACCCGCCACACACCTCACAGGCCACGGTGCGGCCTACGCTGCCCAGAGGGACCCAGCCCTGGGCAGGCACGGGGTGCCTGCTCCACGTGGCCCCGTCTATGGGCAGCCGTGTCCACGGGGCGCCTCCCCCTGCCCTGGGGGCCAGCCCTGCTCCCTCCTGAGCGTGTGCAGGAGAGGACTTAGAGAAACCGACTCCCACCCGGTGTTCACGCATGCACGGCCCTGGTCTGGGTGCACCCCTTTCCGAGGACAGCACAGCCTGGCGGCCCAGGGTCTGCTATACCAGGTGGAGAAGGCAGACTCCGTCTCGGGACACGGAGAGCACGCTGGCTTGGGGCTGGGCTCCGCAGGTGACCCGATGACCCGCCATCCCCGTCCCGAGGCTACTTTGCTGCGAGCGAGCAAGGAGGCTGCGAGCGCAGGCGCTACGGGGGGGTGCACCCTGCTCTCACTGGGCGAGCCGCGGCCCTGAAGGCCTGTCTGCTGAGTGGCCGGAACAGGGCCCCCCCCCGGTCCCCCCGCTGCATTCGCACGGCTCCCCGGTGCTTCCCCTTCCTGCGGGGAGGGGCCGCTTCGCCAGGAGGGCACGTGGGTGAGGTTGGAAGCAGGACGCGATGGTTTCCACCACCGAGAGTCTGCTACCGGTTGAGGGTGAGCGAAGGGGGCTCGTTCACGTGGATACTGGGCCGGGGGGGGGGCTCACATCGCGGCCCAGCAACGGGGAGCATGCAGCGGCCACGGCGGGGCGAGCACCCCGAGGAAGGGCTGGGGCCCCGCGCCCGGCCCGGCCTCGGGGGAGAGTGCCGGCGGCGGCGCTCGGGGGGCCCGGGGCCAGGACGCCACCCCTCACCTTGGAGTCCGTTCCCGTTGGTGCTGGTGCAGGAGGGAGGAGGAGAAGCTTGGGGCCGGACCACGGGCGCGAAGGCGCTCTTTTGTTTCACTGCAGAGATGACATTGGCAGGTGAGAATGAGAAAATGCTGTGTGTGCCGCTACAGTTTGAAGGGAGGGTGACCGAAGAGGCTGCCATGGTGGGGCTGGACGGTGCTACTGCAACAAAGCACAGACGGTCAGGGCGCGCGGCGCGGGGCGCAGCAACGCGACACGGAGGGCTCCTCGGGCCGCGCCCGGAGCGTCGGGGCGACGAGACCACCGTGACTCGCTGCCGGCCCGGCCGCTCTCCGGACAACAGGCAAGCCCCCGTGGCGGCCTCTCGCTTCCAGTCGGGCGGCCCCACTCTGCGCAGGTTCCCGACGTGGCCTCGCGGGGGGCCCACCGCAGGTCAATTTACCGTCGCCACACGGACCCCAGCCTCCAGAGCCACCCTCCCTTTGGCCCAGCAGCTCACATCACAGGACAGCCAAGCAATGCACACATTTGACCTGGTAGTGAACACGAATCTACGTGATGACGTGTGACAAAAACAGACACTTACTGCCGTAGGGAGAGTTGGCGGAAGAGCCATTAAGAAATCCAGGCGAGCCCGGGACCCCTAGATTGGCCATGGCGCCACTTCCATATCCATTCATGCTAGTGCTGACTGTGTTGTAATTGGACTGCTGGGGAGTACTGCTGGGGACGTAGCCTCGCGGGGACACGCTGCTGGTATTGCGACTGTAGCCGACTGTTAAGACCCCCCCCGGCCAAAAATAACGTTATTATCAGGGAGAGACACACTTGGGGGGGGCTCCCCGCGAATCTCTAGCACATATGCAACATTTCTCATTGACCTCACGCTCCACGCCTGCCCGGCGCCTCCAGCCGGCTCCTGGCCGCGCCAGCCCTGCGCGAGGCCCCCGGCCGGCCCCGTGCGCTTCGGTCTGACCGTCAGGTGCTTTCGGGCTTCTCTTCAGAAGCAGTTACCGACAGCGTGGGCTCGGGGCCTGTCCCCCCACGCTAGGCGAACTTTCGGACCTTCAAGTGCCACGGCTGACAGGGACAGCTCGTTTGTGGCCGTAACTGCCCAGGAAGGGCTGCTTGGGGGTCTTCATGAGTGTGGGGAGGGCTGAGGCGCGGTGGCGTCGGGCCCGCCGCGGGAGGGCGCACGAACCGGAGCCGAGCGGCGGCGGCGGGCCCAGGCCTCCTCTGAGACCGCTGCCGGCACAGGTTGGAGGGAGGACAACTGAGATCTGCTCAGAAGTGGCTCACGGGACAGGGCCCCGTGACCTGCGGCTGCCAGGTCACCGCATGACGGGAGCAGGTGCACCCGGGGTGAGGGGAGGTGGGGCTGGGGGGACTGGGATCTCCTCTCCATTTACGCCTTCCCAGTCCCACCCGTGGGACATATCCGAGAAGGGTCCCGTCCACTTACTACCCCACGGCCGTCCTGTGGCTCCTCCCAGCCTTTCAAAGAAACTTCTGGCAAAAACCAGTACCCCGCCCGAGTGGCAGCCAGGTACCGCGGCAACAAATTAGTTCTGGGTTCTCCGAGCGCTCCCCACCCCGCGCGCGCCGGGCAGGGCCTCGGGGAGCGGAGTGCGGCCCGCCTTTCCCGCGGGACCGGGACCCGGGCGGCTGCGGCCGAGTCTCAGCTGTCCCTGGGAGCGCGTCCAGGGAAGGGGGCTGGCGCCGGCACGGCGCGTACCTTGGTCGTTGGCCTGCGAGGTCTCGGACACGTTGACGGCTAGCTGGCTGCTGAAGGAGTTCACGCCCATCATGCCCGTGTGCGCGGGGGTGTTGCCCAGGGTGGGGATCTGGTTGTGGTTGCGGGGCACGCTGTACAAGGCCTCGGCAATGTCAGCCGCTCGCTTCAGGATGATCTCCTAGGGCGGCAGGGGAAGGGCCCGGTCGCCTCCAGCTCTCCCTCGCGCCCCGGGGAGCGCAGGCGCCCTCCACCTTGCCCCACGAGGCGTTCCCCTGCCCCTGGCTCCAGACGGGGACACAACTGATTCTGTAATGGGAGAACCAGCTCCCTGAGGAAGACGGTGTGACGGTGCCTGTGAGCGGCCATCTGCTCGATCTGCACCCACAGCCCACAGGCCCCCGAGGGGTGCACGGAAGCCGGGGACGCACCGCGCCCAGAGTCAGAGAAGCCGGCCCGTTTCTAGAACGCCCTCACGTCTGCTCCCCAGAGACCTCCGGGTGGCATGAGGATGGGCTGTGGGTGCCCGTCCTTCCCTCCCAAGCTGGACTGTGCCAAACTACCACCGAATCCACCAGCCGATTCCCAGGTGGTTCTCCTTCCTGTGACAAGTTCTCCTGCTTTTCCTTCCTGACACTGACTTGTCATCTCCAACTTGAGTACTCAGTGCGAGGGCAGAGAGAGGACGATGAAGCCTTTCTCCTCGCAGACTCCCTGGGAGTACTTGTGAATGGGCGCATGTGTGCCCTGAAAGCCCGAGGTGGGCCCAGGCCGGCTGGCCCTCCAAGGACACGGTCACCCCGGGAAGGGGGCAGCCTCGTCAAGCCGCCATCTGCCTACCTGGTTGTTGTGGGGCATCCCGTATAAGGCTTCCACCAGATCGGCCGCCCTCTTAAGTAATACTTCCTAAAGGAAAAGCAAACGGGGGTGATTTCCCTGGAGGAGCCAGAGAGCCGCTCATCTGAGAAAGCTACAGATTCACAGTTGCGTCGGCAGGGAGAAGAGACCCGCCACCCACCGAGATCAGCCCGGTCCTGACCCTGCGTGGCAGGAAGGGGTGACCGGTCACCAGTACCGTCCGGGGGCCTGGGTGAGAGCCATCCAGCCCGCACCACGGCCCCTCCGTGCGGACAGGCCGGCGGAGGGGCGCGGGCAGGCGGGAGGGCCAGCGTGAGCGAGCCCCGTCCGTGCCTGAGGTTTAATGACGGAGTCTTAGGGGTATTAAACACACACACACATGGCGGAGATATGAAAAGCCCAGGCACCACGTTTGCCTGTTAATTCCTAGCACTTTAGTGGTGAAGAACAATAAGTAATTTCCCATATCTTAATTAAACTGGCAGAGTCCTTAAAGACAACATCTCACCCCTAATTCACGCCCCAAATTTGCAAGTGAGTTCAGTGCTTATTCCTCTTTATTTTGAACAATAAAGTGAATTAACTTGGGTTAATCTAGTTCTTTCATAATGACATTAAGAAATTTTTCAATTAACCTCTTTGACTGCACGTTGTAAAGGACTTCATAAATGCCTGCACATTCAGAGAGAGTGCGCGGTGCCCGGGGGCTTGGATGCACCGACTTTTGTCTTATCCACGTCTGCACGCCTACCTCCAGTTTACGACTGTGCGGATTAATCCAGAGTTTAGTTAATTTTGAATACAAATGGGGGCTTATGTTTAACTTTCTCTACCTTGGGCTGTAATAAAAAGGAACGGAGTTTTTAATAAGCCGAGTCCAGGCCCAAACCCCTCCCTGGCGAGCAGGGGGGTGGCGGGTCTCT